AATGCAATGCATGCCGCGCCACTGCGAGTGCAGTGCTAACGCTGACGCCTTTTCATACAGCTTTAATTACTGCGTCAAAAATGTAAGCATTCGTGACTCCTTAATTTCTAGGGAAGAACACCGCGCCATGTCAGTCTTTGCCTTCAGACATTGCCGACTTTCTCATAGAATAATACAAATTTTGTCGAAAACTTGTGAATATTTTCCTTTCAATTCGCATGCAGAACAATTTATTTTCACTTCAACATAGAGGGAAGCTAGAAATTTCGATGTAAAATTCGTGACCCTAGCTTTCTGCCGATCCTGCAAGAATCCCGAATCAGCATTCAAAAGTTGCCGATAGTGTTATAAAATCATCCAAAGTTTAGTAAAATTTACTATGGGGCAAAATTTGTGATCCTCGAATGGTTTCCTGCGCAGAAAGATGCTTTCTTGTCTACCTCAGAAAATGGAGGCCGTTCGGTTAAGGCAATATTGCAACAATGTAGCGACGAAAATCGTTCCTAATTATTTCCTATTTTGTTTTTCCACTTTTAAAAACTTTCAAGTCGGTGCATGTTAAGCGCGCCGCTTTACGGAGTACAATATACATAACATAAATCTTTCTAAACTGCTATCTGGAAGGTCCAAGTTTTATCCAAAATCCAACAAACATGAATAATGAAAATTTATCTTCCACTATAAATAGTTATACAATATAAATATGTGTCGTAATATGACCTCACACACGTATCTCATCGTTTTGGAAGTGCATCAGGAAGTAATTTCGATGAACTGCTGACTCGGCTATCTCATACAGCTCTTAGAAACTTTAAAATCCTCAACACCGCGTTGTAAAGTCGACCGTTTGTCCCTGTCCTGGTGTAATCCCATGAAATTATAAAATTCTCGGTTACACCGAAGTTTGTCAACCTAACCTATCACAAATTCGCTTTAAAGTATCTTGAGGCATTGCGGCGTAGGTAAGATTACTGCACGAAAGATAAATCTCAGCTACTCCTCGGGATAGCATACGTGAAAGTTTTAGAATCCAGATTTATGGTATATTTTAATGCGCGAGTTTAAACTTCCTTGCGGTTTTCTCCGATAAACTTTAGGTCTTTTGCTGCATCCCGCATAAACATGGGATTGGTGACGGTAACGAATAACTGAGCGTTCAGACTAATGACAAAACTCCTCGTATGCCATAAAACGTGAAGTCTGAAGTGAGACGACCGATCACGTGCATAATCTCTGCTTATTTTTCGATACTTCGACCTTTTAGCGTCAGTAAAACTTATTTGGTCGCGATGCGCGCATAAAGCTGATTTATTAAATGACTAGTCATTTAGTAAAATTTTGAAGACCCATCAACTTTTACATGTTCCATAAAAGAAATTCGGCCATTCACTGGAAAAAAAAAAAACACATTGGATCTAGAGTCCAGACTCTTGACAACATTGAGAAGAAAAAATACTCTTGATTCAATCGGATTTTTGCTTGAATCAAAACGAAATCCGCTTAAATTAAGAGGCTTGGTTCTTGATTTAAGCTAGATTCTGATTGAATCAAGAGTACTTTTTCTTGTCGATGTTTTTAAGAGTCTGGACTCTAGATCCAATGGGTTTTTTTTCCAGTGTTGGAAAAGTTAAATTGAGGACCACTTTTTTTGATGAAAAGAAAATTTACACATCATTTTACACAGACCGTTAATAGAATAATCTATAATTTGTATACGCGATTTCGTGATGAATGTTTAGTATCTTCTGAAAACTTTGTCAAGCAATCGTAAATGCACAACTAACGATGGACCACAAATTCTCTGCCCGAGCATTTGGCTAAACGTTTGATTTGACTATCATTGGGGAACTGTGACTAGCAGTTTTTCCTAAAAATTTTATTAAAAAAAAACGGAAAATAAAGGCTGTTACGTTAATGATACAAACGGAAGATAGGTAAAGATCCTTTGAGGTTTAAAAGTCGGCTAGTGGACGCAACGTTGCGTCGCGTCGTTGATTACAGCGTGTGAATACAACTATTCGTGCTCAATAGATGTGCGTGTTGCCTATCACAAAATTGAAGGCGTTTTTGCTTGCGTTGGTCCTAAGTGCAGTTCGCCATCTCAAACCTTTTTTGGTTGAATTATTCTGGTTATCTTTGTGTATTTATGTTACGCTATATGGACTAAATATGCATTAAAACACTGTTAGTGATCGTATGTTTGACTATGTTCCGATGTCTGCATTGCTTTCCTCTCAGCCGTGAACGTAAAAACTGTCTTACAGCTTCTTTTCATTCTATTCAAGTTCCGTAGACAGCGGGGACTTGAACTGAATTGCAGATGGTAACGACACAAATAAACCTATACTGCTAAGCTTAGGAAACACGCCAACATTCAAATATTGGTACATTTCCAGCAATAAAATATGAATTTTTGAGGAAAGATATGATCATTTTTCCTTGAAAGTTTTAGATAATTTAGATCAAACTGCATCTGAAATTATGTAAAAATTTATTATGGAAGGAAAAATAACGACGTCTAAAGGCTGAAACGGTGCTCTTCCTTAGCACGGTAGTAGATGATGAGCTATGATGATATGATGAGATATGATGATGAAATGATGATAAATGATAAGATGCGAGCTAAAGATGCATATCTAAAGCGCACCAATGCAGTTAAGTCCGTTTGATGCTGAATTATATCTCCGGTTGGCCCGATATTTTTGAGACATGAGTGAATGGAGGCTTTCACTCAATTTGAGACATTACACAATTATTCCAACATCTTTGGCGTTGTCCGTGGACCCGAGGGGCAAGAGGAGCTACCGGAGGATTAAAACGTCTAAATACGGGTGCAGCTGATTCGGACCAAATAACAGACTGGTTGCCTGTGTCTGCATGTGTGTGTGTGTGTGTGTCAATGCAGCTATGAAAGACAAATAGAACGACCTAAATATAAGGCTAGCAGTTAAATAACCGCACCGACCACGTCTCTGTTGATCAGAAACCGAAGCACGATTGCATTTCATACAACAAGTTGCTTTATGGAGCCATTCACTCTCCAACTTTTAAAATCAACACGACTCGACATTGTATACAACCGATGTTGCCAGATTTAAACTCCCAAGTGAACGGCTTGGAGAAGGGACATGCGCTACTGAGGAAATGAGGAAACCAGTGCTTTGCGATACATCGATTGATCTGCTATTTAAACCTATGAAAAAGGATCGATAAACAGGGTGTTCGCAACGAACGCCTTAATAATCGATTCTTCACCATAGCTTCAAATGGGAAAATATCGAAAATCGATCATTCAATTAACGAAACCGACTCGAGATTCGATGCACGAGCAGGGTGGAAAATTTCTTGAAATTTATTCGCAAACTTTTGGGGAAATTTTTTGAAACTTTTGGGGATTCATTCAGGAGGCCGAGAAACGCCCAGAGACAGTGATTCTATTTGTTGAAATGTTTCACGCCAAGCCTAAAACATTCACACGTTGCAAATGTTTTCGTTTAGTTCAGAGGTTAGGATGGCGTTTTTCTCCCTGAACCTTCAAAGGGGACCCGACCCCTTCATCGATAGCACCTCAGTAGCCACATCAGCTATTGCCAAATTTAACAATGACATTTTATTTTTTACGGGCAAACGTTTCTGCGGATTTCTTTGAAAATGTTAAGGAATTTGCTTTGTATTATGGAGAAAATTTACTGAAATTTGCACAAAAATCCGCACAACCGTTTCCATGTAAAAAATTAAATTGCCCAGTCAAATTTGGCAATAGCTGATATAGCTTGGTTCCTTTCTGTTTAACGTGGTCCATTTAAAGCTATAGTAAAGAATCGATTGTAAATGTGTTCGTTGCGAACACCTTGTTTATCGATCCTTTTCAATAGGTTTAAATGGTAGATCAATCAATGAATAAATCGCAAAGTACGCCACGCCGTTGACATTAACGTTGGCTTTCGAACGCTCTGCTTCTGTTGATCGAGAAAAACAAATTACAGACCTCGCTGTCTCGCATTTCTATTCATGATATACATTTTAGGTCATTTCGAAAAATTTCAATGCTGATTGGACTGTTGCTTTTCTCGCACAAAGTGGCAACAGGTTGCTAAGCGATCGCGAGAACCTGTTGTGCAGAAGCCCTTTGCTCATCCTCCGATAAGACAATTTATAATGCGTTGCGTTTGCAGCCTTGTCAATTACTATACTTGTTACCGAGCTAATCATTAGAAACTGAGTGACTGAAAAATTATCCAGAGAGAGGAGGGCTTGTAAAATGTGCAAATGCCCCACTCAGGGCATAAAACCCATGTTATGGAGGTTGTCTTGGTATGGACGAGAAGCTTTAAAAATTTCATCAATTACGGGTCAAGCGACAGAATTTACCTCAAAACCCGGAACCTTCGTCTTTCGAGTGAAAATAAAATTACTGGGATACTATAAAAGAGGAACAACGAAAAAACCAAAAACGAAACAAAATATGAAACGTAAGGGCATCTTTTACTTTTATAGATCTAATAATCGGACGCATTTTGCTGTATTTTATTTTTTTTTTATTTTTTAAACAAAAAAAAAATATGCCTTGAAAATTTTACGCCGAAAAAAATTTCATAATTTTTAGAAAATATCTCGAAAAATCTGGAACGTCTTATGAATTTTAGCATGAAAACTGCTTTCGACCTCTTGTTGAAACGTTTACACTTCGTGCAGAACAAAAATGGGAGAAAATAATATGCCAACGAAAATACATTCAAGGTGTATTTTGCAACTAAGACTGTGAAATGCTACTCGGAAAACTAGAGGGTCGCAACTTCGCAAGCAGGTTATAAGACTTTGTGCTGAAGGCGAAAAAATTATAGAAAACTTGAGGGATTCAAGGAAATATCTCTCAGATTTTACTTCGTGTATAAACTCTGGTGTGCCGAAACTCATTCATTGCGTTTATTTTTCAAGAGCTCATAAAATTACTGAGAATGTTACCTGATGATTTACGTGTGATTTATTTCATGTTTCAGGGGTATTTTTGCATCGGTGAGGAGGTGCAAGTCATTAGAAACTGGTGAAGTTTTCGCAGCTAAATTCTCGAGTCGGACGAGATACGGCGAAGATTGTAGCGCGGAAATCCACCACGAAATTGCCCTTCTCTCTCTGTGTTCTCCATCACCTAGGATCATCCGCCTTCATGATGTGTTCCAAACTCCTTCAGTCATCATCATCGTTATGGAATTGTAAGTTTCATTTATATCCTTCTCTATTTAAATGAAATTTAAAAATTAGTATGGGAAAAGAATAGTTAAACTCAAACCGGTGAATTTAAGAACGAAGGACTAGTGACCGCATAAAACTACGAAGTAGGTATATTCTAGCAGTCAAAATGCTAATATCAGATAGATGACTTGTAGATACCTCATTATTTTTGATGGTGAACTTGCAGAAATGCGTACCTATTTCGGTTTCCAGTGTTGCAGATTACCTTTCATATACTTTATTTTCTACTTGAAAAAGTACTAAATGTCATTTCTTGAGAACTTTTAGTGTATTTTNAAATGAAATTTAAAATTAGTATGGGAAAAGAATAGTTAAACTCAAACCGGTGAATTTAAGAACGAAGGACTAGTGACCGCATAAAACTACGAAGTAGGTATATTCTAGCAGTCAAAATGCTAATATCAGATAGATGACTTGTAGATACCTCATTATTTTTGATGGTGAACTTGCAGAAATGCGTACCTATTTCGGTTTCCAGTGTTGCAGATTTCCTTTCATATACTTTATTTTCTACTTGAAAAAGTACTAAATGTCATTTCTTGAGAACTTTTTTGATTTTTTTTTCCCTACGAGAAGAATATTCTATAAAAACTGTGTCAAGGGATGATGTTTGTTCGGTCTTCTTATAAAAAAAATCGGGAGCAGAAATTTTGGAACAGTGCGACTGAGGTACGCACTTTTGCGGTTTCATCTTCGAATTGATGCGTATCCAATATCGAAGCATGGTGCAAGTATACCAAAACTTGTACCTAGAGGGTTATTCAAAATCGGCGATTTTACCCTACGATTGGATTTTGCCCGGAGTTGGATATGTTGTTCCCTATCACAAGACACGCCTTTTTCCGGCATTGGCAAGTTCACCCGAAATTTTTCCCGCGCGCTACAGCGTTGCCAAGTTGAAAACAGGCAAATTCCGTAAGTGGCATTAAAATTGAGCTATGAAGTTGTGGTTTTAACGAAAATTCTCTAAAAATTACGCACTTTTAGGAAATGACCATGTTTTTAATGTCGCATTAATTTTAACATGCATTATTGCCAAATTTCCGATTTTTAAATTCGACAAATGTTACATATCCGCAAATACCCAAAAAAGCTATCTTCAAATTTGAATAAAAAGTTGTCTAATCGATAGTTCGTTCGATTCCGCATCCATCGATATATTATATCTCGCTGGGAAACTTTTGGTTTGCGAGATATCATCATTTTTGTGAACAGCTTTATGGAGCGACGACGCTTTTTGAGTCCGGGCGGATAGAAATTTTAGCCTCCAAAAACACCGGGTAGCATTAATTCTATGGTTTCCTGTGTAATTTTTGGCGCTGAATCCGAATTTGACCATTTCATAAAAAAATTGTCACCAAGATGTTGCCAAATTTGGCAAAAATTGCTTAAAATCGGCCTTTTTGGCGGATTATAGCCTGTGACTTGCCAGGAGTTGATCAGACGACAAAATTGGTTATTTCCACAGTTAAAACTCGTTAAATTTTCTACAAGCTGAGTCAAATTCTTTCTGCTCACGGTAAAATTAAACACGCGACAAGCAGCAAACTGAAAAAAAGACANCGCGCGGGTCGCTTAAGAAGACAGAACAACTGGAATGGACACTCAAACTAAAAAGCGCGCGCGAAGCGCGCGTCCTGGGGGGGCTTGGGGGGGCGAAGCCCCCCCAAAAAACCGGCGCGGAGCGAAGCGGAGCGCCGGTTTTTTTGATTTTTTTTTCCCTACGAGAAGAATATTCTATAAAAACTGTGTCAAGGGATGATGTTTGTTCGGTCTTCTTATAAAAAAAATTGGGAGCAGAAATTTTGGAACAGTGCGACTGAGGTACGCACTTTTGCGGTTTCATCTTCGAATTGATGCGTATCCAATATCGAAGCATGGTGCAAGTATACCAAAACTTGTACCTAAATTTGCAACGTTGCAAATTTTCTGTCATACTCTATTTCCCAGCAGGGGGCCTGATCATCGTTTTTGCACGAAATTTTGTTTGAAATTCCTTCGTTCTTTCAACAAATTTCGGGCGGAAATATTGAAAAAGGAAGAGAGGGGGTACAAGATGTTTTCAAATTTGATCCTGAAGAAAATGGCCCCGCGAAAACGCTCGGCTGTTAGCGCTGGCAGTTTGACAACGACACGAACTCGGGATGAATCACGTGAACAAAGAAGGGTTGTCGCCCCGCCAAACGCTGATCTGAAACATTTGGAGCTTCTCCAGACTCAAAGCTCATGAGTTGAAGAACATAACCGGTAAATCTCTGAGCGCGGTAAGTATATTAACGTGAGAAGGGTTCGAATCAAGGATGGCGGAAAATAAGGCGCGCAGTACCTACATCTACCGTTTTGCAAAATGCATTTTGCCCAATTTGCGGTCGTTTGTTTCGCAAAAAAGCCCTGAATAAATTACTTTGAGGAATTACTGCAACGTTCATTGCTTAACTGCTGTGAAATGGGATATTTATCTCCTTGCATGTTCTTCATTCTTGACTACCGGAAACGATTCAGGAACGCTGACTTTAAAATCAGGGTCGGGCAGAGCATTAAACAGAGCTGGAGCCAAGAAAGGATACCGCGTGGAGGACCAAAAGATATGGCTCCGGCTGAATTTTTACTTTCTCGCTCCCCTTGCGGCTAGAGGAAAAATTGTCATCCCAAAAGTACCCCCCCTCCACAAAAAAAATTGAAATTTCATCATTTTTAGGAATGTAAAGGTGCCTACGGCCAAAAAAAACCTCATATTTGAAATTGTGTATCGAACGGCGTACTCCATTACTGTGCACAGCCAAAGTATTTTTGTTCAATTTCATTCAAAATTGGCATGATTGGCATCTATGGTCTCCTTATGCACGTCAAGTGATTTTCTTTCTCTTTTCTTCTTTTTTTATTGTTTGATTATGATGTCCTTTACGACCTCCTGAGCGAAGTGAGATTTTAAATCCCCCCAACACTTAAAATCCTCAATGCTTAACTCGAATAAAATTGAAGAATCAGATTGGGAGGCACTAAAGTTCACATACATTTATTGAGACGCCGCACAAACGGAAATTTTTTCACGTTTGATTATTTTCAAATTTCACTTTAAGAACCTTAAATTCCTAGAAATGATGATAAATCGCGCATTTTATTAGTTATGCTACTTAAAGCATGACAATACTACCTCTATCGACAAGAAGAGCAAGAAAGTAAAAATCGTATTGTTCTGCTACTGTCTAGTCGTCCCATTGTCGTTTCCCGGGACGAAAGGACGTAACTTCATTCCAAGGTTGCAAAATGGACCTAAATTCAGCTTTTTCCAAGAATGTACCCGTGTAATTTTCTTCCGAAATTTGTCTGATTTTTGCATGAAACCAGTCAATAAATTAGTGGTGTTTTTAATCAGAAATGCCGAAGATCCTCCTCGTGAAAACGCAATTTGCAAGGGGAACTTTGACAACATTGAAATACAGTTGTGTTTACTCGTGGGGAATATGGCAATCTATGAGTATGCCGAAAAAAAGGATCCCAAAAAATTCGACGCGTTTCAATCCGGATCATTGGACATAACGTCGTCCATACGCATTTTTTCCCGCGCTTTTCAAACTACGGATAGAGAAAAATCTTCGCGTGGGCTCCTCCGTTGTTTCGCGTGCCGGGAAAGTTTTTATGGACAAGAAGCGAGGGAATTTTACACACTCGACCCTGTCAACCCTGGGAAATGAGCCGTTTAACGAGTATTCCGATCCCCGAAGGCGCAAGGAGCAAGAGGAGATAAAACCTTTCCAGCTTATTGATAAATAGACGTGCCGCCTCCATAGGCGTACCTCTTGAAAAACGGGAAAAAAGAGGTGGGCATCAGAGGCGAGGCGCGAATACGATAATCGACATTTCCCCGTTTGAATTCATGGTAAAGAATCGATTATTATGGTGTACGTTACGAACGCCCTGTTTATCGATATTTTTCCACGGGTTTAAAAGGTAGATCGATCGATATATCGCAAAGCGCGCCACGTCCTCGGGGGAAAGTTTTCTCGGCCGGGGTAAATGATCTGGAAGAGTGCACGGTGAGAAAGTTAAATTAACCTGAAACAATCCGCCGTGAATGTGATTAAATTCGAGCGTGTAGTTTGTGCGACCGCCCGGGCCCTAACTCCACACGTCCTCGTCCCGCGGGTTTCAAACGTGAAATGGACGTATTTCTATCAAACGGAACTATGTGCATTAAGACATGAGCCCTGAGACCCATAAGGATATGTGCATAGCAGGGCTCACGTTATAATGCACATAGTTCCGTTTGATAGAAATACGTCAAATTCATTTACGGCGCCTTGACCGATGGAGTCTCTCAAAGTTTCAGGTAAAATTGAATCTTGCGGTGGATGGAGGTGGAGTGACATTGCGCTGGCTCTTAGACGAAATAACGTGACTAAGTTTCAACGTTGCGATATTTTCATTCACGAATTGGACGTTTTTTTTGTTAAAAGAAATATGTGCGTAAAAATGGAGATGTTGCATGTGTGAGGAATTTGCTATTTGACTGTTGATTCTTATGTAAAAGTTCGCGAGAAACACGATGGTGCCACTGGTTTTCTCTGAAATCATCTCCCAAGCTCCAAAAAAGCTCGCAAGTTGAGGCCAAAATGGAGGGGATATCCCACCCTACCCTGAGAGTCCACCTCTACACCAAGACAAACTCTCCATGCAAAGATAGGGAGCATATACATTAGCACTTAGCAGGGCTGCCACTTTATTTGGGGACTCTAAAACTGAAATCACGGGAACCATGTCAATGTATTTGCTCCTTATCTTCGCATGGGGAGTTTGTCTTGATGTGGAGGTGGACTCTCAGGATAGCGTGGGATATCCCCTCCATTTTGGCCTCAACTTGATAGCTTTTTTTGAGCTTGGGAGTTGATCTCAGAGAAAACCAGTGGCACCATCGTGTTTCTCGCGAACTTTTACATAAGAAGCAACAGTCAAATCGCAA